CGTGAGCAGTATACGAGTAAGAAACAGCCGCAGGTGAAGTAAATGGTTTAGTCACAACAGGCACAATTGGTTTAGTTATCAAAGGTGTGGTTGAAGGCGATTTTCCGTACAAATCAATTCTTTCACTATAACTGGTGGCTGCTGACGTACCATAACCCCCGTATAAATACACCGGGACACCTCTAACGACACCTATTACCACGAAGAGCAAAAATGTGTTACACATCCTGAACTTGGTGTGAGGAAAATAACTAGAAACGCTTATTTTTTCTATTTATATTAGGCTATCATACGTCTGTCCCTGAGATTTACATATTTAAAACCTAAGAAAAAAAAACGAAATTTCACGCACTGTAGATTAACAGTAGTGACATTATTCGCAAATTGTTTCCATTGTTTTAGATTTGGCAAGTGGATGAAAACAAAGACCAAACTGACCAGTGCTTTGAAAGATACGTAATAATTATCATTTAATTAACTAAACGCTCACTTAAGGTCAGTATTACAGTAGACTAATGTAATTGCGGAAAAAATGCACCATAACGAAGAACAAATTATTTATAGTTATGTAACCGACTGTTAAAAATTGAGATGATCGCTTGGTTTTGCCGATTTGCTTAATTGTTAAGTTCGAACCGAACCGAAATAGCCTGATTTCCGTTAATTTGTAGCAATTCTAATCTTTCAGGTATTCTTGAAATGCCTCTGTTGTTGCTGTTCTTCAGATTGACATAAAATTGTACAATGAAAGACAAAATTTAATTCTACTGTGTAGTTTAGCTAGATTTTCACATTAATAGTCAATACTTCCCCAATTCAAAAATAAACGCAAACTTTTCATATTGTTTATTAAACATAAACGAAAATTAGAAAAAGATAATCAACAACATAACAAAATAATAACCAAATGAGATAGTAAGGTAAATTACATTTGTAACAATGGTGACCAAAAATGAAACCTTGTATTCTTTGGTGAATTTTAAGGGGTGTCTTTCCTATAAGTAAAGTTTTTATTTAGGACGCTTCGTTAAAAAGATACAGGGTGTTAAACTTAAAAAAAATATTTTTAATTTTTTTAAATAATTTAAAAACTAGTAAGTGAGATAAACTGAAGAACGGACTAATAATTTACTTATAACTATTACTAATATTCACAATGTAAATTGTAGGTATAATTATTAGATAAAAATGAATGTATAAATAAATTCATTTTACAAAATAGCAATGCGTTACATAAAATTCCTTTCTTCACTTTCCGGAATTGTTCTGTCTGTCAAATATCTATATTTTCCGCTTGACCTGACAAATACAAAAAGGTAAACGTTAACTATTCCATATTAAACGTGAATTGTCGCTTAAACATTTTTAAATTTCCCAAAGGGGATTTTTTCAATAACTATATGACGCATATTTAAAAATATTTTATTAATCACTTATCCTGGTGCGACATTTCCTGAATTATTTAGAAATCCCATAGAACTAATCACCCCCTATTGATTATTTTGGCATTTTTACTCCTTTGAAGCAACAATTAAATATCCATAAATATTATGCGATACTGCAACTGTTAATCATTAATTATAAATTATAACAAGCTCAATATTCGTAAAAATAATACGGGTTACTAAATAAGTCTTAGTAAACATAAAATACCACTAGTAAAATATATGTTAAAATCACCGATAAAGTAACCATAATATTTACGTTAAACAACCTTATCTAATAGCTGTGAAAATTTCGGTAACTGCTAAAATAGTATTTCTAAAGTTGTAGAACTATGACAAATCGTTAATAATGTCCTTAAAACTAAAGTAAATAATTCTGTGGTTACGCCTAAAAATGAGGTAGGTAGAAAATGTAGCTAGTTATTTTTGTCATTGCTGTTTTATTTAAAGTAAAATTTTATTACACATTCTAATGTTGCGTGTAGTTCAAAATATTGCACCACGTAATCGATTACGTATCAGGAATTATTGCAATAAGAGGTGTACTATTTATTTCCTAATTAAATTAATAAAAGAATAATAGAAACGTGCACATATTTGTTCAGGGGATCTCAATCGTTCTTTAGATATTACCTAAGCTATCGATTTTGTTATGCTTTAATTATTCTAACGCAATGTTCTGTTTGAATTCATATTACCGCTTTCAACAGTGCAAATTCGTGTTTTTTTGCTATTCTTTTTTTAAGTAAAGATTCCTATTTAGTTTAATATCTCGGTTTATCTAAAAGTTACTAATTTGCTATGCACTTTTTTCGACTTATCTATTAGGAACAATTAGAAATAGTTCCATCTCGTTTATTTTGGATAACGTAGAACTTATTGAGTTTAGCAGACAAAATCTGCGATTATTATAAAAGTTAGGTGAATCATTTAGCAAAATTAAGATTCTGCATGTATGAATGCATATGTGAGTATAATTACAATCACCAATATTCTATTTCAAGGTTCAAATTGTATTTAAAATATTTGTACACCTAATATTATTAACATATTATGATTTAAATTAACTTTGTTTATGAACTCTGCCGAATTTTACATTTTATAAACTTTGTATTCCTTTAAAAGGTCACTATTATTGACACTGGAAATAAAAATTTTAAAAGAAAAGCCTACATTATTTTATTATTATATCAAATTAAATAACTTCATATTTTTATGACGTCATTCAGCAAAAATTTTACCCAAGGCACTTAGTAAATAAGTATTTTGAGTTTAATATATTTTCATCAACTCTATAAAACTTGCTTGCCATTTTAGATCTACAGACAATTGTGTCAAGAATAATTTTCACAAAAAATAAATTTAATATATAAGCAACTTATTCACGTAATAATTAAAGACAGCCTTTCAACCGGATAATAGTTTTTTCGGGCGATATATTAAAACAATTATTAATATAGATTTGCGTTTTAGGGATTCTCATGAGTAAGCAGTTTTTAAAAAATGCAATGTATAAGTATGGTAATTGCGCAAGGTTTATTTTGACTTACTTATTTGAAATGTGAACAATTGTTCAGAAATTCTAATAAATGAAACAAATTTAAGTACTTGTAACTTTTGATTTTATTAACGTATTAACTACGGTGTCTTCAATTGCGATGAAAATAAAAATGGTTATTAAGTTTAATTAACAACATTTTGGAGAGCAAAAATTGCCACTAATTTGACAAATGCCCGGTGACTTTCTTTATTGTCAGCGGCGTTTTGCAACATTGTGGATATTGCATTTATTCAAAGGAAATTGCAGTAATTGTGAGATATTTACTACCTATGACTCCTTTGCTACATTTAACATTACTAATCGGTGTCGGTGTTGGATTAGTCTGAAGAGAGGAGGAAATAACAACGGTACACGAAAATGTATGTTTAATTTAATAAAGATGTCTCATAGGAGTTTTAATCAATGTAGATTTCAAGGACTGTTCCAAAAAAAAGGAAATATCTGTTCACCACTTTTTATGAAATATGTAAAAATTAAAAACCAAATTAAGAATTGTATTCCAACAGTGACGAAATTCGTTTGTCTAAATTTTCGTCTGATAAACACAATAATATATAAAAGTTGCAACCACTGATAAAATGTTCACAGTAATAAATCAGATACAACAATGCAACCTGAAATTTAACACCATTTGTTTATAATTTTATACAATTTGAACTGCTACCAAAAAAGTAAGGACATATTTAATATTCTACGTTTCACTGTATGAAGAAATGTGTTATATAAAAACATTTTCATTTAACATGTAACATACATTTTATGTAAAATGTTTCTATTCTTATTAAATTTAATTATCCAGACATATGGTGCTAATATTTCATAATATTCTCACACAAACTTTGACATAATAGTGTGTCGAGCACAAATCACTTCTTACTAACAGATTTGTAGGTATTTTGTAATAATTGTATAAAAAAATGATCCGCTACAGTACAAAATAATATTTACTTATTTTTACTTATTATCTGGAGCTATCTTTCCACAGGAAGAAAAAAATATAAATTTTTCCTTAAATATGAAGCAAGCTACAATAATAAAATTAAGTGCACTTTTCCGACTATTGAAAAGGTATTTACTTGCGCTTCATTTGCAAGGGATAGGAGAAGCCACCCCTACAAGCAATTTTTTGCATAACTTTATTTCATTGTCAACATGGTATTTTAAAAATGTTTCAGATAATTTGTTTGAAATAAATTTGATATGTACTATTTCTTACGTAGGTAAATATAGTTTTTGAGCAAATAAATAAAATAGTGTGGGGAGGCTTTTATTAAAATAATAGTACATTAAAATGAATGCAAGTAAATTGGAACAAACCTTAATTATAAGTAGAATACCAGTATCCATCTTTATACAAAACAACCACCTATTATTTGTGTAACTATCTCCACACTTAAGAAATGAAAATAAATATTGGACTTTTCCCTCTCAATTTGAAGGGAAAGGTTTTTTATATGACCTCTTTATATTTGAGGAATCACTTTTTTATTTCTTCCACTTATGCATTAACATCTCTATACATTTTTGTCATATTTATTTATGTCTGGAAATATTTTCATAAAAATTTCAGGAGTGTTATAAAAAAAGCTGCAGTTCTATTGTAAACTCGTAGCGACTTTTTTATAATTTAAAATGAATGGAAAAAGTCGCTGTCTAAGAAAAACATACCATACTCCGTCGTTGCACGCTACTTAGCGTATAGGCCTGTAAATAAGTCCACAAAACCTAAGTTTCTTTTTAATAACATAATTAACAATTTCGTTCTACATACTTGAGGACCGACGACCTTCAGCTGGCCGTTCGTAACGAGATCGGTGGCAAATTTTCCCACAACAAAGGCCTCACTAAGTTGCGAGATTTTAGACAATTATTAGAGGGGGTAGGTTGCGTAAATATTCCTGCATACAACAGATCGCTATAAAAGCGATCTCTTTTTTCCAAGAAGTATATTCAAGTTTTGTTTTAAGCCAAGTAAACACATAAAACTAAAAAAAATGTTCAAGTTGGTAGTTTTGTCCGCTTTGGTGTGCCTCGCTGCCAGTGCCCCAGCACCAGGTTTCCTTCACGGAGGTTACGCCTTACCGGCCGCCACTAGCTACAGTTCCAGGGTCGACTTGATCCACAGCACCCCCATCATCAAGACCTACGCCGCTCCTGCCATCGTAGCCACCCCTGTCATCGCTAAAACCGTCAGTTATGCCGCTCCAGTGGTTGCCAGTTATGGTGGGCATGGGTATGGCCTAGGAGCTGGACTGGGACATGGATACGGTTTGGGACATGGTTATGGAAGTATTGGATATGGTCATGGTTGGTAATCAGCTTCCTTGTGTTCTCTATCAATTAAATTGTGATTATTTTTCATGTACAAAAATGTAACAACTGACAGTTGATTCGCTACATTAATTCAAATATTTAAACAATAAATATTATTGTGGAAACATTCGTTTTTTAATCTCGCAGATCAAGTAAAATTAGTGATAGGAATGAGTAAGTTGGCATTTTTTGATTTTATCAAATATTTGAGTTAGAAAAATTGAAATAAAATTAATTTCAATTAATACAGACATTAATTAATTTTAAAATTGCGTGACACAGGATAAATTCAATCAAATCTAAATAGTTAACAGATTTAATGATTTTAAAGTATGAAAAATAAATAAAACTGAACTGTCTATATATTGAAATAAATTGATTCAATGTTTATACAAAATGAGCAAAAAACATTTTAGATTTGTCCTTAATATTTGTATTCCTCAATATTATGCGTCATTATATTTTTACTTCAATTTAAGTACAGTAATATTAATGCTATTACTATTTGGACCAAAGGTTATAAAATAACACAAGGTAAGAACCACAGCCGCTTATATACCTACATTTGTAGAAAATACTTAGAACATAAAATAATTCCAATTTGTCACAAGCTTGAACTGCATTGTGTCTGTTCAGGGAGCGTTAACATTTTTCGGTAATCGAGCTCATTATTTTAAGAAGAATTCAGGGTTATTTGTCGGTCACATCTGGCCATCCCAATTGCGTGAATACCTAACTCAGTTTTACATTTAAATATTAATAGCATGTGATCAGGACATATTTCTAAATATACTGAAATAATGCGTCAACAATAAGCTGGAGATACTAGACATCAAAGTATTATGTTTGAGCTCATCATGCCTTATACGAATGTCGCTGGTTTAAGAAATACAGGGTGTTCAAGGTTTAAGACTATGAAAATTGGTAGTATTGAATTTGGAGCTTATTTTGATGTTGCTCCTAGAGAGCGCTAATTTGGCCGTATTATTTAGGTAAATCAAAACATATGTTAAAAAGTCAAAAAGTTTTTTATACTTAAAAAAGTCAAAAATCTAAAAGAACGTTCAATTCTACATAAAAAATGTACTCCTGTTTAGGTCACCTAACTTTATCGGTTTCAGAGTTATTTCCATTTAAAAGTTTCAATGTATTTTGTGGTGGTTTTCTTTCAGGCGTTGATATTGCTATTTCTTTTCTAAATAGGCTTGTATCATATTTTCATGTCAATAAATATTAGCATAATTTGCGTGCGTGTGATTTATTATTCGTGCAAAATTATTAGATAGTGATAAAAAAATGCCACGACATAATAATTTTTCAAACAGTGAGATGCGTGATATGATTTGTGTTTTTGCCCAGGCTAATTTTAATGGACATGCGGCCGCCCAAAGATATGCACAATGTACCCAAATAAATTACAACCTAATTATAAACTATTCAGAAATCTTTACAACCGCTTAGGCGAATCAGGATCCTTTTGACCAAAAAGTAGCCATGGTACTCCAAAATCTATCACAGTCGATGAAGAAGAGGGAATTTTAATTCGTGTTTCGGAAAATTCCGATATGAGTACTCATCGGTTAAGTGCGGCAACGGGGGTAAGCCAATCGTCCATTTGTAGAATTTTGAAAAAAGAAATGCTCCATCCATATCATTATACTCCGGTTCAGCAGTTATTGCTTCAAGATTTACCAGCTTGCCTACAATTTGCTCTGTTTGTACAAAATATGCAAATGGAAAACCCAGATTTCCTCAGTAAGATTCTATTTACCGATGGGGCGACACTTACTAGACGGGGAGTTTTCAGTTGAAAGAACAATTGGAAGAACAATCATTTGTGGGATTCCGAAAATCCGCATGATGTAAAAGACAGACATTTTCAGCATGAGTTTATGGTGAATATTTGGTGAGGTTTAATTTCTGGTTTTTTCATAGGACCTTTTGAATTACCACCCAATTTAAATGGAGCTCATTATTTAAACTTTCTTCAACAAAATTTAAAGGAGCTTCTGTGTGTATGTGGTTTATGCACAACCACATTTTGCCTTGCCAGTACGCCAGTATTTAAATGAACATTTTCCTCATCGGTGGATTGGCCGTGGTAGTGAATTTTGTTGGCCACTGAGAAGTCCAGACATAAACCCTCTGGACTTCTCAGTATGGTCAAACTTGAAGGATGCGGTGTATCGTGAAGAAATTAATTATGTTGTTGCGGCAGAAAATATAAGTAGCCGCGAATGCATTTAAAAATAATAGAGACATTTTGTTTAATATTCAGAGACATTTAAGAGAGCGTATATATTGAGGTAAGTGGTGGACACTTCCAGCATTTGATTTAAGGTTTGTTATTATTACTATTATCAATAATTGAGAATAAAAAATCATACATAGAAACTTTTAAATGCAAATAACTTAGAAACCGATAAAGTTAGGCGACCTAAACAAGAGTACATTTGTTTATAGAATTGAATGTTCTTTTAGATTTTTAACTTTTCTTGAGCATAGCTCAACAGATAAAAAAATATGTTTTGACTTACCTAAATAATATAGCGAAACTAGCGCCCTCTAGAAGCAACGTCAAAATAAGCTTCAAATTCGTAATTCTCACACCAAAAAACTCAATACTACAATTTTTTAGAGTCATGGTATTAAAACTTTCTCAATTATTGAGAAATTTCAAAATAAAATTTAAACCTTGAACACCCTGTATTTCTTAAACCAGCGACATTCGTATAAGGCATGGTGAGCTCAAACATAATATTTTAGTGTCTAGTATCTCCAGCTTATTGTTGTCCCATTCTTTCTGACTCACCCTGTATATCAAATTTTTAAAAATTTTAATATTCTATTATTTCTCGAAAACTAAAATTCCTAATACAAAACTTTATAGAGAATCTCAAACTGTCAATTTGAGGTTTTCTCAGTTTAATTCAATTTGTTTAATATTTTGCTCTATTTTCTATTGTATAATTTATTCTAAAATAAGTAGAAATGATTAACAAATATCGCTGTAGATGTCTAGATTTTTGTCTGTAATTAATTTACAGTTTTATCTTTTCAATTCATTGTATTCATTCTAGGATATATTTTCCTTTTTCATTAACTCATCTTCTCTTTCTAAGTACAAGTAATATTTTTAATATAATTTAATAAATATATTAATCCAAATTTATCTACAAAAAAAATAAAAGATCATACGGATTCAATTAAAAAAAGTATAACTTTTTCTACTTTGTATTTGATGTTATAAAATAACAAAAATATTTTTAACTACAGTACAACATACAAACTAAATATGCCGCCACAAACCATTATTCTTCCTGTAAAATACTCCAGTGCACTCCATACTCGGTTTACCACCATGGGTAGCCATATCCATACCCATATCCATGACCATAGTGACCGTATTTATACAAAAGTGGGTAGTCTAATAAAGAATATCCGTAAGTGCCGATGTAAGGCTTATGAACACTTACAGCGTAGCTGGGATATCCGTGAAGGTAACTTGGAGCTGCTTTTGGACCTGGAACAGGACTTGGAGCACCGTTAACTAAACAAAATACGGCAAAAAGAACTACGAACTTAAACATTTTTCTCTTGTTTTCTCTATATCTTCCACATTACCGTTTGATCGAATAAATTGTGCCATTGCATTTTATAGTTTTCCTGTCATTAATATAAATTGAATTAATAGTTGTAATTATAACTTCGATGTTACTAATAATGTACTGTAATGCGTTTACCCTAGAAACTAGATTGAAATTGTCGTGGCTTCAGGTTTAGCATTATAAAAAATACTCGAAGGACTATTTGTATTAACAAATTCGTATTTCAGATTTTGCTAAATATGGGAAATGAGCTCAGTATTTTTCTAATTTGGGATGTATTTGAAGTCCGTTCTGGAGCGAGTTGCTTCAATTATTTTAGGCTAAAAGGTCTTAATGAATCTAACAAGGATCTTTCGTCACATTTTTTCGAATATCTCTGAAGATACATATTTTACATGGATTGATGAAACTTGAGCTAGTTGTTTAACTAACAAAAAGTATAAATTCTATGAACTGGTATATGTATAAATAAGTCAACCAATGATAAAAGGTATTTTTTTATTTAAAATAATCCCTAATACAATTCTTAGCCATCAAAAGTGAAAAAAAATTAAGGAACATGCAATTAATTCGTGTAGCATTTGCGCTTTTATTATATTCCATAAAACATAATTTAAACACGCATACTGAGTATATCGCATGTCCGCAGGCCTTGCTACGCAACTTCTAGATTATTAAAATATTGCAGAATTAAATGTTTCGGTTATATTAATTATGTCTTCTACATAATTATGTGTTGCAATATGTGAAATAGCACAGAACACGTTCGCGATATGCGTTTTATAGTTTCCTAAGAATTTTCGTCACCCTTAACTAAGGTGAAACAAAGAAATTTATTTTCATATTTAGAGTAGGTACACATATTTAACATTATTGCAAGGAGATAATATTGAATACAGGATTTTAAAAGGAACTACGACGTTCAAGATATTTTATTACATGAATCGTTCAAATGGTTATCTTAGATGAAAAAACCACGGAGTCCTATTAAATTAGAGGGTGGAAATTGGAGATAGGGGTGAAAATGCACCCATTTCAGTTTTTTAATTCTAGCTCGAAAACGAAGCAAAACTTCGGTATGGTTCATTGGAAAAATTTTGTAGAGAATTGAATTTCCCATAGAAATAGCTTATTTAAAAAATTTAAATGGAAAATTTTATGCAAAAAGAATCGTTAATAAACAATTTGAAAAAAAGCAAAATTCGATTTTCTGATTTTTTTTTACCTTTTTGCCTCTAGTTTTTTTTTAGGTAAAGATAGGTATAGGCATTGCTTCATAGAAAAAACAGTAGAGAAAATTTTCTTCAAAACAAGAGGTTGTAAAATATTTTTGGATGAAAATTGACTGATATATGGCCGCTCAAACTTTTTCGATTTTCGTCGCGTTTAGCCTT